GGGAGAGAGTACGTTGATTGCGCACGACAACTGTTCCATACGACTGCGCAAATCCGCCACCACCTGATCCTGTTCCGGATCTGAGGTCCCGGCTGACGATGAGACTAAGAGCATTCGTTGCTGATCGCACATATCATCAAGCATGTATTTTCCAGCCAAACGATGCAACGGATAGTCCACCGAGGCGGACAACAGACGTCGTTCTTTGACATCGGGAATCTTGGTTGACATGACTTGTCGCTTGTCCGATACGTCACATTCGAGACGAACTTCACCGCCAAGAACATGTTTTTTACCGATTAATTCTAACAAGGGGAAATGTAGTGAAAACGGATGTTTAGTGAGAAGCCAAAACAAACGGCACTGAGGAATTTAATTTAACAAACCAAATAACAAAAAGTAACCATTTCATTCAATCAAAACAATTTCCTTTCACACGCTTACCCAATCCCAAATTAATGAGAAATTCATATTTCCATTTATTTTCAACATAACACAGAACTCGCTATTGGCTATCCAATAACAAACAATTGGTTATCAATGAATCTTTGTGGGACAATGATTCCGTCATATAAAACAGCCCCATAATTAAATGAAAAACTTGTTGTAACCCGAAGAAGCCAATAAATAGACCAGCGGCGAGTTAAGTAGTTATTCTTTTTTCACCGTAGCAATGTCAACGTAACCAGTCCGTAGATCGGTGAGCAAGCAGTGCGTCAACACATACGCAGGCAGGCAGGCCAAACTGGCTCAAGTGTTACCGAAAGCAGAATGTCAAAGTTTTATTCTGGGAATAACTTACAAGCTCGTGCTTCTCTTGTTTACACAATTGGATCGTTACACGTCGAAAAAGGAATCAAATAGAGTTCCGGGTAGGAGATAACAGAGAATGTAGGCTACAGTGAATTTCTGTTTGCTTTTAGTGGTGTACGAATGTGAGGTGTGCCAAGGTTTCATCGAGTCTCTGCTTGAAAGATTCAATAGTGGATGTACAAACGACATGAGATGGAAGGGCGTTCCAAGAACTGTATACTCTGACTGCAAAAGACCGGCGCCGGCATTCCAGTCGACACTTTCGAATCAGTAGCTTGAAACAATGTCCCCTTAGATGTGCATTGCTATATAACATGAGCAGCGATCGACATGGATGGTTTGGGTTCTGCAGTATTTGATACGTCAAAATCAGGTCCCCCGAGTTCGGCGGTACTGAGCAGAATATAAGTCCATTGATCGTAATCTCTCCTCATATGTCAGGTAATGCAACCCCTAGACCATCTTGGTGGCCATC